GAGTTAGTTAGACCCAAATGTATTTTGAAAATTTTATTACTAACGTCACCTCCCGGATTATGCGCATTTGCCTACATTGTGGGGGATACGTCTCAGTTCTGGTAAAAATGTTAACACCACTTGCAATCACTTTTCTAACAATGCGCAGACCTTCTACATTAGTTGGAAAGAGTTCTGACTTTGTTTGAATCGGATCGATGTTTGGGGGCAGTACCCATTGTTTTGGACAGGGACGACCTGATCAAATCGGATGTAATTCCACTAAGATTTGAGGTGATAAGATGACGCAATTCAGACCACACAGTCTACCTACGTGCCTCCTCCAACACGTCGACAAGAATTTTCAAACACGATGATCGTTCGAAAAATTCTGCTGAAGAGCGTTGTAGTTGCTACATGCAAGCCGCATTTCAAAGGCTCGTGCAGATAGATAAGGGATCTTTTTTATTTAGCTGTCATCGTCACTGTTAGAGTCACCAATGTCGTCGGCTGGTTCCACGTCTGTCAGTCTAACTCACAAATATGATTGCACTCTGACGTTCACTGTAACAAGGTCTGTGTTTGCGGAAGGGGGGCAGAGCAGGGATGAGATGGAAGCAGTTGTACAGCCGGCTACGTTGAATGCCACAGGAACATACATGCAATCCTTGTGCAACATTCAGCTCGCAGCGCATACTGAACTCTTGCGACAGGCTGAGTTCCATCCTGAATAATGGAGCCGAAGGCAGGGGACCGGAACAATCAAAAAAATATACGGGTAGAAAAAACGCAAATTACCTCGAAGAAAGACATCCCATCCGATACTGCCGGATCCAGCGAGTTCGAAAACGCACCGGTACTTCCCGTAAGCTCCTTGGTCCAAACCTTGAAAGATTCCGCAAAACATAACTGACTGGCTTTATCCTTTCTACCATAAAAAGGTAAGTTTAAGGGGAGCAAGACTGGTGGTATGGACATTTCCATGTCCTTGCCACAAAAACTAGGCTTAAGGTTGTCTGTCTGCACGAAAAAAGGGCCAGGGTTCCAAGAATAGCCGCGATGACTATTTGCACTCGGCAAAAAATATTTTCCGGTAAGGATATTTTTGAAGTCTCTGGTTCATCACCGTCAAGAAAAAAACTAGGGTATATGCTTGGCTTAAGGATGACGGCTAAGAAAGTGATGAAATTTTCCCTAGCGGTATCGAAATAGTGAGCGAATTATTTACTTCTGCCAACAACTTACAAAATGAAATAATATTTTCTATAAAAAATATAAAATTTCACATGTAATTCTGAATTCCGTTTTCCGTTGGGAAGGATTATTTACGTTACATTTTAATATTGATTATTGTGCGGCCTAATCCGAAGATATTCTAGTCACGCCAAGAAGCCGACGTTTGAATGAATTTCCCTGCGCCTGACTGCAAAATCCATATTTGTCAAAAGTGGCCAAGTAGTACGGTCTTTAAATTGATTTTTGATGTCCTTAAAAACCAAAACCTCATCTATAGAAAACACAGTCAAAGGCATCCTTTTGTACTCACTTGGTAGTAATTCACGTTTTCTTCAAACTTTATACTCAACAAAAGGGTATATGCAGATTTTAAAAACGTTCTCAATTCCCGAATAAATTTGAGCGAGATCTGCTGATGCATTTGCGTCTGGGGTTTTGAAAATAAAAATGTGTACCTTCTATGGAAAGGAAACCATACATTCGTCGTATGCCACTAGGAGGAGACTATAAAAATGATTGCAAAGTTTTGCAATGGATGTACAGTATGCTGTAAATTTCATGAGGATAATTAACAATCGCGCAGTGTTGATACTTCCTGAGTGGACATTCCACGGTCTTAAAAAATCTCATGAACATAAACTTCTTTAAAACCGAAAGGTACACTTCATCGAGTGCAAAATTTAAAGAATATATAATTTGCCGCCAAATGAGTGCAAGAAAAGATATTTTTGTTAAGGTTTTTCACAAAACATATTTGGATTTATAAGGGCATATAAAGCCAACTAAGAACTTCTCACTGCACAGGTGGCCATTTTTTTACAAATGCGGTTTTTACAGGCGGCTGAGAAGAAAAGCATTCAAAAGTCGACATCCTGATGGAACTAAAATATCTTGGGATTATGCTGCAAAATAACCAATATTACAAGCAGATTTAAGTAATCATTCATAGTTGAAAACGAATTCAAAAATTCCGGCTAACATTTCATCAGTAACGGCTACACATCTAAATGTGAGGAAGACTTTCCCTCCAAAATAACTACGAAATTACTTGTATCTTTATAAGGGCCCGATTGCTCTTAAAAGAACTAAACTGAACAGGTTAAATAAAGTAGGCGCAAGTTAAGTTTGTAATATGTAAACATGCAGCCTGGTTGTATGTCCTTCATTAAATGATTTCGCAAAAACGGAAGTGAAGTTGCATTATTTAATCACTGTGTATGTAATAGTTGTATATGCATCCTTTCTAAGTGCCATACTTGACCCTTTCAAGTTTCCTTAAATTTGCAAAACGTGAGTGTATTTCGCGGTTTCGTACAACGCGCATGAAAAAGCTATATTTAGTTACTTCCCCAAAATGCCAAGAGAATTTAATGACGACAGTTGGATGAACAGCAAAAGTTTACTTGACAAATAACTCAAAACCTTTACACTTTTCTGACCTTATTTTTTCATAACAAAGCGTAAATTACAACTTTTCTTGTCGGGGAGACAGAACAGACGCAAGCTGGAAAATTTAATTATCCGTTTGCTGCCGGAAAAAAGTCAAAGTTAGACGCCGCGACACATCTTTGAGACGTAAAGAAACAATCGGATGGGTAGGTCGAGACGCCAGGAGATTATATAAAATGGCAGACAGGGACCTTAAACTCCGTTAATTTCGGCGTTCGAGGATAAATGAACAATAGTTGAAGAGATTGTAAGTCATCCGAGTTCACGCTTGGAAAGTGGTGATCGAAACAATGTCTGGAGGGAGAGTTGAAGCTCCTTAGGAAGTATTGCATGAAAAGCTCCGGTCTTTTTTGTAAACATAAATAGGTCAGTTTTTTGAGAAGAACGCTACATCCTGGTAAAAAAACACTGCGACAAGGGAAGACATTCGAGTTTTCGACACGTATTCGGTTAGGAAAGAAGATTACAGGTCGTTGTGAGAATTACTCACTTACTAACCCCAACTTCTGAACTCTTACAGGGGTGTGTTTTTAGAAGTGACAGCAACGATGAAGTAGGCAACAGCCGTGAAACAGTCTAACGAATAAACAGCCGGTGTTCCAGCTCTGAAGGTAACTCCGCGGAGTAGGAGTTTCAAAACTGGCTTTTAATTAACCAAACTGTCTTCAGCTATTGGTCGTTCCGATGTTGCGCCACCTGTAATGATGGTCGCTGGTGCGGGTTAAAAAGCTGAGGCAATTAAGCGATAGAGTGGAGATCAGGGGGGATTTACAGAACAATTCAGCCTCCTTTTTTTCCAGATTTCACCAACACCGGAGGAAATCGTAGAAGATAAAGGATACTGTACGTCGAAAATTCACAAACTTCCTTTTTAATTAAGTCAAATGAGAAGGCTCTTAGTCCCCGGTACCTGCTATCGACGTTGTTGCAAACAAAAAAATTATTCAAACTTGGGAAAAGTGTTCATAATCCTAGAAGACGCATCACATGGAGCATACTGTACGAAATATTTCAGACGCCTTAATGACCTAGAACGCCTTATTGAATTTTTTTATCCAATGTCTCCAGAAAAGTAAAATCCGTTCGATTCGAGATAGGAAAGGCAAAAGGACTTACCCTTAACTGCTATTTTCACAGTCATTCAGATGATAAAAAATACTTGCTACGCAAAAGGCGTTTTAGCATTGAGATTAGAATACAAAAATTGATAGGTAATTAAGTTTTTTTTTAAAAAATACATGACCTGGTATGAAAAATTATACTGTTACAAGATCTGAGCAGAATCCACCCACAGGCATTGCTTATCAGATTGATCTAAAGTCATCGAGAAATTTACGAGGAGCCTCCGGACTCTGTCTGGGCAGGTGTTCTAGCTAAAAGACGCACACATAGTTATTCCGTAATAACTAAACCCAATTCCGATGGTTTCATTAATTCACCGGAAATCTAGAGAGAGAAATATTTGGTTCCACTGGAGTCAGAATCAAGAAGGACTGAGAAACTAGTAGGAACCTGAGAGTAGCTTAAAGATGCACTAAAAATCCAGAACAGAAGGAGGTGGAAAGATATTTCACCCTAGCCTATGAACACCTTCCAGGCAATATACGATAAGGCTTTAAGACAATTAGTTCTGGAAATCAAACTGCAATAGCGCTATAGTTACGAAAAAGACAGGTTTCTCCTTTAGTAAATTACTTATAAGGGCTTAAGCACCCGGCAAACATAGACATTACTCACAAAATATAAAAATAATCGCCTTGGATTACAACAGCATAAAACGCTTATTTTGAAAGATTAGTGTGTGAACAATTGTGGGGAAGGGGCATCTTTTCATTTACAGTAGATGTGCTATCTCATAAAATGTTAACCTAAATTCTGAAATGTGTTCTCGATTTGGACAGTTTGCGTAAGTAGGGTTGTAATATTGGTTAGCAGAATCCTAAAATATTTCAGCCACCCCAGAATGCCATCTTTTGAGTCGGCCTGTTTCCGGCCACCTAAAATAACCACAATCGACGAAAAATAATTTCTTAAGTAGTATGATTTTTTTCCCTTAACTATCGATACCCTTATAAATTCAATTATATTTTATAGAAAATGTGTACAGAAGATATTTATTCTTGCATTCATTTTATAGCAAATAATGCCTTCTTCGAATACAGTACTCAAAGAAAGAATACCTTTCGGTTTTAAAAGAGTTTCCAATTGTGAATTTTTTAAGACCATGAAATGTCCACCCATAGAGCATCGCATCAACCCGTTTATTAATGTTACTTGTACAGTATACAACGTGGTCCATATCCATTGCCCACTTCCATGAGCGCTATATAACGCCTTCCTAGAAGCGTGGAGAAATGAGCGGTGTTCTTCTGACGAAATATGCACAGCATGCAGTTTCGAAACCCTGAATGCAAGTGTAACGGCAGGCGGAGCAAAAATATTCGGGAATTAAAAAGTTCTGACGGCTTAATGATACTCATTTTCAAGTGGAATATTTGAAGACGACGTAATTGGCTACCAAATGAGTACCAGAGAGAATATTTTTGTACACGTTTTCTATAAAATATAACTGAATTTATAAGGGCATCGATAATCAATGGAAAAAATTCACACTGCTTAGGTGGTCATTCCTTACAAAGTGTATTGATTTAAAGACGGCCGAAAAGAAGCTTACACGAAGGCCAACATCCCGACGAGGCTGAAATATCCTATGATTATGCTGCACGACAATAAGTATTACAACACTACTTAAGTAACCTTTTCGAATCAAAAGCACATTTTAGAACTTCGGTTAGCAAATACTGGACTTGAAGACTAGACGATGACCCAACACTGACGGCAAATTTAACTATTGTGAGCAGTTGAGTAAATCACCTGACAACATTATGACTTATCTGTCGCAACAACTAAGTTGCATTAAGGCAAACAATGATCTCGTCTAGGCTACAATGTGACCGAAAAGGAGTTATTAGAAAGTCACGGTCGTGGTGACTCGTCATCTTCAAGATCCGAAACAGAGCTAAGCCGGTGGTCCTAGTTTAGAGGTCTCAGATATTTTTGGGTTCAAAACACAGCCAAACTCAAGTAAACGAAACAGCGTCATAACAATAAATGTCGATTTATACGGGCCGTTGAATGCATGCCGTTGATATTTTAGAAACAGTATTTAAGTGCTAGCGTGTTCGGTTAACAATTATTTTTCAGAGTTGAAGGCTTTTGTCTATACTGAATACTCACGAATAAGAAAAGGTTAAAAAGGTCTGGAGGATAAAAAAATCTTCAGATCCAAAACCACTGAGGCGTAAATGTCGAATGACTGGGAGAAACGGCACATTAGTTTCTGCCGGGCACCATTTCCTTTGGCAAAATTGATTACTTGAGTTAAACGAGGCATAATGCAATTTTGTCCAGCTCCAGCAAGTGCGTTTCGAAAGATACAAGGATATTATTACTGATCAAAAAGGGTAAGAAGCAAGTTAAAAGAAACGCTTCTCACATCTCAGCGTTGTTTACGTTCCCAAAGACAACAAAACTGCAAGCCCTATAAAACAAGCATTTCAATAAATTTCGCTAACGGGTCTAGGGCTACTGAGAACACAAATTTAATGTGAATCGTTGAAGGGGATAAATTTCTGAGGACGTCGCCTCTATAAAGCAATAGATTTTCGGTTTGGCCTTTGCCTGTATAATACTTGGATTTATGTCGAATCTCACGCTGTTCACCAAAGCGAAAACGCCGATCATTGTCACATGACTTTCATTGTACGCTGTAACACAGGCAGCTCACTAGAACCTACAAGTTAGCTGCTGCGACAGCCCAAGTGTAACAATCAATATGGGCATGCTGCCAGGCTCCGGAAGCGGTGCGGTTGGTCCAAGGGGCTTTAAGTGGCCGTGACATGAAATCGCCCCCCCCCCCCTACAGTGGCTTGCAACGAGTTAGACGCTAAGCGAGAGAATACATCCCAATTGGTCGCTCTGACTGGGTGCGTTTGCGCGTGTACAGGTGTCGGCCAGCCAACTTTCACTTCAACCCAAACATCGCCATTATCCTCAATGCATATAAGCCGCCATTTAGTGTTTTAGTTAAAGAACAAGGCAAGAAAACAACCAGTCGGAGTACATTGCGCACAATAGTCTCAAGCCCCAGTTTCGGGCCAAGACAGGAGAGGGTGAGACGAGGAGGGCAAGAAAGCCCGCCACGCAAAATTGCCGACTAAGTCTTTCGTAGCGCCCGACAAGACAGGAGAAACAGTAATAATCACAATTAGATGGAAAGCTTCACCGCATTCCGCGCGATTGAGGGAGGACTTTTACTTAGCCGAATTGCAGGATCCGTCGACCACCCTGTTTGTTAGTTTAGCCAAAATCAGAGTGGCAACTAATTTACGTGGAATTTGCAGAGCAAGAATAATGTATGATAAATCGGGGAGACGTCGGGTGGTTAGACAGATGAATCTTTTAATAGTAATTGTGTGGCTGGCAACTGCCAAAGACCCGGCTTTGCGTTAACTCACGCTTCATTATGGTCTAGGTATCCCATCTTTTGCTCCACTTATGAACAAGTCTGATTAAACCGAAATACAGATCAGCAACGAATGTCTTACGTGGTATCCACACTTGACAGCTTACACGAGAAAAGTCAACGACGAAATCCCTTTATCGTGTTGGACAGGAGGAAAACCAATGAAGTCCTCCAAGTCATAAGTTTTTGACAGTTCCTGTGGTATTCGCTTGACATTCGATCCACGGATTAATTTTCATTTTACAAGAATGGAGCACCTACGCCTGCAAAAGCAGGGTTGGCGAAATGGTTCATAATTCGCTCACCAGACTAAGAACTTGCATACAGGCATATTAAAGAAATCTCCTCAAAAGTAAAATTCGTGCGTTTAACGAAACACAAGCTTCCAAATAGAGACTTCAAGGAACTTTACAATCAGCCCTAGCCCACTCTAACGGTGAGCTTGGATTGACATTCCAAAATGCTAAAAGTAAAACGAGACAGTAAAATCTGTGGGATTTGTCGCAAAGTCTAAAGATAACATGTAGACCAATCCATTGTCTCAACCTGAGCATACCTAAAGTCCGAATTTCACCAAAAATTCGACTTATTTTAATCAAACCACGCTTTAAAAGCTCCGAAAAACATGTGCCACTATAGTCAATGGACAATTCACTTGAGAAGATAAGCAACACCCTAACTGATGCCGATGGCTATTATTAGAAGAAAATTCCACTATAAAGGAGGAGATAACACAAAGTGGACTTTGTCTAATCAGTTTCGATCAAGTCAGATTTAATTTAAAATAAGTTAAAAATGTTACATCTCGTTTGTATGTGCACGTATTCAGAACCGCATGACAAAGAACCTGGCATCGTCGTTCAACAGAATGCTAAAGCCCACATCGAAGACGGCGAGGGAGGAGGGAACGATACACCTCGCGTTCCAGCTTTCATACCGTTAACAAGATAGTAGGGGAGACATGGACCTTACTCTGATGAGAAATGGTTTATCTTTGACAAATCTTCAGCCAAACTAGTCGTTATCTCGGGCTCCCGACTCTCGAACCGTCCGGAGGATAAGACGCTTATAAATCTTTCCCGCTATAGGTCTTATTATCGGTCTAACACAAATGCTTTTGCTGAAGACGTGTAGCATTGTTAGAGAAATCAAAGCAGAAAAAGTAAATGGGGGAGGGGATGAACAATAAACTGTCAACAAATATTAATAGATGCTACTCACTTGGAGTGCTAAGGCCCAATTTTGAGCCGATTTCATTCGTTCTGGAATGCCTCCAAGTGAATCTTTCATAGACTGAGGCGTTGTCAAGGTTGTTCACCAGTCCACCTTTCCAGGACACCAGAACCCTTTCCAGCTGAACCGAAGGGGCAAATTTGCAAATGCAAACCATAAACTGGTCATTCGGATCGATGCCGTCTACCGAAGTCGATGGTGCCCACAAAGTCCGACGGATCAGAATTTTTGAGTCGATCTCCTCTTCAGTTATTTCGGTAGGGACGGTGGCATTGGCCAGTTTGACCACTGTTTGAGGGAGGGCGAGGGAAAGCATGGTTCAACCTTAACATTCCCAGAAACGAGTTTCCGAAGGAAAATTAAACGAAAAAACTTAAGAAGAATATGCTCTGGAGCTGCCGGATAATAACCGCGGAACTTTATACCAGGAAAAAACCTGACGAAATTAAGGGATAGCATATACTATTTAAAATAGCAGTCCACTAAAAGTGGTTAAGTCGGATACGTTCGTTGATCAAAGCCTCAAATTGGGTAGGTTGGGCGAAGGTATGGCTTGTACCCGGGGTCAGAAATAGGTAAAATAGGCAGCCTGTCCAGCGGGGATGATGGTAAAGGCGATTGTACGTAGGGGGTCATCAGAGGTACGGAAAAGAAGATGGAGAAAGTAGAGAAGAAAATGGAATCGAAGACATTCTAATGCGCTCAGAAGATAAACGGTAAGAAAGCGCACAAATTCGAAAAAGTGACAAAAAACGGCAATTAGGGAAATCCAGACAAATAAATAATCAACTAAATAATCAAAGCTCAGGTTCCAAGGGAAATAGAAGTCACTGTTAATTAGTCGCAGGCGGTAGGCGGCGTGCAAATAGCGCAGACTGAAAACTATATCAGAAGACGCAGTAACGGACAAGATCTTACAAAATATGCAAAACGAAGAGGAAGAAGGAACTCCAACAAGGTAAACTAAATGACGGTAAGAAAGAATGAAAAGAAAAGTCAAGTCTCGTAATGTAAAGAGGCACGGCTTCCAGATAAATATGCAGGTATATGTATTGCAAATAAGGCATGGCATATAACGTCGATTTCAGAACGAAAACAAGGTCACAACTGAGACACTGAAGCCCGTAGATGTAAACATCAATATATGTATATATATATATATATATATATAACACATGGTAGACCCCAGCGGTGGACCAGCTGCGCCAGGTGCGTCTGAGCGCATGTTTGTGTTTCCGGTACCAGCTGGTGGTCAGGCTTATGATTGGCTGAATGTAGGCAAACAAGCCCGAAACAGTGCTGTATCAATCTACCCCCAGACTCTGTCGTCTCCCCTCTGATATATATATATATATATATATATATACACATGCAGCAGATGTGCTAACTTATGAAATGTCAACTAAAATTTCGAAATGCGTTCTCGTTTCGAAAAGATAAATTAAGCAGTGTTGTAAAACTAATCATGATGCAGCATAAATCTATAGTGATCCAGTTACCTCAGGGTGCCGGCTTTGAAAGAACTTATTTTCGGCTGCATGCAAGGTCTATACTTTAAAAAATGACTGGTTAAGTAGTATGCAATTTTCTCATTGGTTTTCCATGCGCTTGAAAATTTAATTATATTTCATGGAAACATGCATAAAAATATTTATTCTTTTATTTATTCGGTAGCAAATTACGTCTTCTTCCAACTTCATACTCAAAAGAAGAGTATAATTCGGTTTTAAAAAACTTTTTTAATTCCCGAATAATTTTGAACCCGACCTGCTGTTACACTTGCATTCAGGGTTTCAAAACTACAAGTTGTATATTTTCCGTGTACGAAAAACCATGCATTTTTCTACGGTGTTAAGAGGAGACCATATGAGGTTCATAAAATTAAGCAGCGAATTTGAGCAATATTGTTAACTTTACAAGCCACATTCGTAAATGCAGATATATGACGTTTCATCAACGGCCATTTAACGGTGTTAAAAAGTATCACAATTAGAAACTTTTTAAAACCGAATTATACTCTTCTTTTGAGTATGAAATTGAAAGAAGACGTAATTTGCTACCGAATAAATAAAAGAATAAATATTTTTATGCATGTTTCCATGAAATATAATTAAATTTTCAAGCGCATGGAAAACCAATGAGAAAATTGCATACTACTTAACCAGTCATTTTTTAAAGTATAGACCTTGCATGCAGCCGAAAATAAGTTCTTTCAAAGCCGGCACCCTGAGGTAACTGGATCACTATAGATTTATGCTGCATCATGATTAGTTTTACAACACTGCTTAATTTATCTTTTCGAAACGAGAACGCATTTCGAAATTTTAGTTGACATTTCATGAGTTAGCACATCTACTGTATATATAAGTAAGAGGTAGTTTCAATAATAAAAAACAGTGGTAAACTATAAACTAATCTTTTTTCAGACGCAGACCACCGCCAAAACAAAATGTAAGACTCGGACGCATTGGAGTCGTCTGAAAAGAAAATTACAAGAAGGAGACCGTGTCAGGCCAAACTGTCTGGGCCACACAATGATGAGACACAATATCGTCTATGGTCTGGACTAAGCACTACCGGCCTAAACATGCATGGGAAACCTTCCTGTCCCGCATCGTGGAGGTGTACCCGTGAAGTATAGGAGCAATGGATAAGCCTAATGGAACTGGTACGCCAAAGCCAATTTTCTGAGCTATAAAAGTTTCACCTGTATAAAGTAACTTTAAAATATCCAGCCTCTGATATGCAGAAGATAGTAGACAAAACTTTCTCATGACATCCAACACGTCCGGGATGAGGACCACAATAAGAAGTCTTCATAGAGATTCCTGCACCGCCTGGTTTTCGAGCGGCTGTTTGCAAGGTCAATAACACAGGCCGGTGAAACATGTGGAGCAAGCTGTCATGCTAACATAGGCCCCTGGCTAAATTCCATCTTGTCTACTACTTTTCTATTTCTCGTTTTAGTCCCAGTACGCCAGTTGTAAGATAAATAAGGCCCTGTTATAGGGTATTCTCATTCTGACTCTTGCATCCATATTTGTTCGTCCTCCCCATTTCGTGTGCTTGCTACGGTCCTAGCTACAACACAAGCCAAAGCCAAGGCCCAAGTGGTACACGGGAAAACCTAGTTGGACGGCACCTACTTAAATAAATGCAGTATATAATTAGGTCCATCCCGGCTACAAACCATACCCTTACCGGAGTTTGCAGTAACGCAGGCCGTAGTGGGAATTCAGAATGCATTATTAAGACTTATTTCTGATAAACGGCTGAAGATTGCCAGGAGCCTAGATTTTAAAAATTCCATTCGATGCAGTCAATCAGCTCTTATTTCCAAATATACGAACAGTATGCAAATAGTCAGACAGAAACGACAGGACCATAGTGACATTACCTGTCAGCCAAATTCGACCCAGCGAAGGTAGATATAAGAGCAGGCCAGATGAGAAAAGCAGACCAAACATGTCGAGTAACGACCTAGCTCTAATAATGGCGCTATGCCATACTCGGAACTCCAGTCAAAGTTACAATTCGGTTTTAAAAATTAGTCAAAACTTTATTGCAATTGTTGGATTTGCCGAGTAGAAATCCTGTACGACCACAGCAAAATTATTAATTAACTAGCTAATTTTAATTCTCACTGGCCGTTAAAATTTTTGTTAAAATTCACTGATGCCTTGTATATGAAAAGGTATTACGGTATATGACGAACAGATGAGCAAGTGCATTTTGTAAAAGGGCGAGGAAGGCAGGAGTCAGACGTAATTTTCCTAAACTACGTCCGAATGTGCCAGAAATTTTAAGTTATTTTAACAGCATACCTTCCCGTTTAGAAATGGTCAGTTCACGAAGGCTCTTAGATGAGTATTGGTTATTCCCGAATTAATTATCACAGTGACGGCTAACCGAAAATCCCTCATCAAAAGTGTTCAAAGGTCATATCGAGTTCACCTTGCATTATAACAGCGCACCAACCTATAACATTTCGGAGTGGTTTATTTCATTGCTGATTGTGACATTGATCTGCTTCGGCTGCAGAGATACTCTCCTGATATTACACCAAAGGCAACTGGCTATCTTCAGCGTGCATAATAAAATGTGGTCGAAACGCCTGACATGCTAACAAGGGTTGGCTTTAGGTAACATTTCGATGATTGTGTTCATCGGCTCAAAATGCACTGAAGTCGGAAAAAATTGCCCTCTGACTTGCCCTAAGAAAGCTGAAATTAGTAAAAAGTCTATTTTTGAGAGGGAACAACTTTGTTTTTCGAATATGATTTGGAAAGCAAACTGTTAAGATAACTGTCATGCATAAGTGAAGGTATCAAAATGTCTTAAAGGGATCTTTCAACCGGACCTGCTAAAGATTTACATATTTCTAAATAGCAGTGAAATCTAAGTAAATATTATTTACTATTTTTGACCACAGATCTTAGTCATTATAAATCGGCTCCCTAGGATCAAAAGGGCACGAGCGACGAAGATTTACGTTCTTGGAGTCGACTTAAGTCAAGTATTTGCTGATAGTTCTACAATTTTCCTATGCGAACACGGGGAGCCTACAGAACACACTGATCGGCTTTGCGGAAGGAAGTTTACGGCAACCGACTGGCCAAAGGGAGTCGTGACCTCTATATAGATTGCCCCAACTATCGGCTCAACGAGTAGCACAAATGTCTACTACTGCTTTTTAAAAAACTGTAAGTCCCTTCCCGAGAAAAGGGCAACTCCTTGTTGTGAAAGAAGCCCTGTCAATTGCATTCAAATTTTAAAAGATACACTAGACAAATGAAAAAAATATATGGAATCACCGGAACTTATGCACGGTAAAGTTTTAGATTAGAAAAGGTCCCACCACCCGTTAAGAAGAGTGGGAGAAAGTGGGTATGCATAGCAATAAGTCCGGCTGTAACAGGATTTTGCATACTTATAGAGATAGTACTAACTCCCGGAGACAAATGTTTTGGAATGACCAAATAGATTCTCAATAATATTTGTTGTAGGAAGAAGGGGCTTAAAGATACAGTATAAAAGCCCGAAGCCCCCTTCTTCGGAGCTCACAAGACAACATCGATAACGTTTCGAGAGACGTTTCGCACGAAGAGAACAATGGCTAAGACAGGAAACAGCAATCAAAGATGAGGTTCAACGAAAACTATAGCTTTCTGAAAATAGAATGACGTGCCAACTACCCCCAAGAAATTCCAAGAACCCATCATCTGTGCAGAACTACATCAGAATATTTCAAGTTGCCGTGAGAAGTAATTTAAGTTTTACAAATAAGCACTAGTATAAACGCATTAGTACAAAGTCGAAATTTCGTCCCTGGACTTTTCTACAAATGCTTTTTTTGCAAATGTCCAAAACAACTCAAATTAGGGTTTTCAGTTTTCGATGTTACCCAGACTTGCTTTGATATGTCTGAGCAGTAAGTGTGTGTCAGTAAAATACTTCTTTGCAAAAAGGCAATATTTCAAGATAACAAACTGACTGTTCTAAAAATTGTGCAACATTGTGAGAAGAGGAATATAAACAAAAAACAAATCAGCTCAAGGCGAAAAAATACAAACTTTGCCGAGACCGGCACTCAGTTAGTAGGAAAAACGTTAAAATCCGCCGACGGCCAGAGTCGAAAAATGCCTTTATCTTAAATAGGACCAGAGGGACGTCTATGTGCACATTTATTTAATAAACATAAGAAGGCCTAAGATTTAAATCAAGAACATTCTTCACCGAGGCGGCGTTACCTGCCTGGTGAAGTCAAGACCTTTATTACTTATAAGTAATAAAGGTCTATAGATAACGTGAACGAAGAGAAGTTTAGCACCGCCGAGACTCGAGTCAAAACGCTTAAATTTGGTTATAACGAGTTTAAACATATACACTAAAAGTGTGAGTAAAATTGATTACTGGAAACGCAGAACATAAGCGGATAATTGTGCTTACGCTTTACTACGTAGATATTGGTGATGGAAGTTAAACTTCGGAAGCAACAAAAGTAAATGCCGGTGTCGTCCAGTGTAACGTTCATGATGTGGGAGATACGGGTAGAGTTCGTCATTTGAAGCTCCGCCATCATTTGCGATGGACCATGTGTCTGTTTCCTCAGATAGAGGGACTCAGTACCGCGTGTGGTTGCTCCGCGTATAGAGCAATCAATTTCAACCAACGAGCCAGACTCGACCAACAGGCTGTTGCGAAGCTGAGGTTCATTGTTGACTAATACTTTTAATTGCGGTTTAAATTCTGCACGAGCGATTAATAGGAAAATTACATACCATTACAAAATATTTTGGCAAACATCAAGCAAACACTCAGAACTCGAAATATCCATCTGTACATTTCTAGAAGCCGCCTTCTTTATTAATAAATTAAGTGATGCAACTGAATATATCAAACAATCTCTCAACACTTTTCGAAATTTGAAGCTCCTAGAAAACGTAACTTCCTAGCGAATCCATAGGTAAGCTGGTTAATTTGCAAAAATCCTTAAGAAATAGCAATAAAGCTGCGGAAGATGAGCGGTTTTTGAACGTGCAAATTTTAATAGGCCCATGATGGATATGGGTTATTTGGAATGCCGCATAATCTTGAAGCCGACAGTACGGTTCTGGGGTGATTTTCGCAGCCAAAAAGGCTTCTGGGAAATACAAGTGGGTCAGTTGGCAAAGTGCTCCAAGAAGGTCTGAGGAGCAACAACAAGCGAAAATTCTGGTTGCTTAGTAGTGAACTCTTTCCAAAGCCTCGAAATCACTACGGAGGTACGGCCCGCTGTCAGTATAAAGATGCAACGACCCAATCACCCACGTCTGAAAAACCTTTAGACTAATTAGAACTTGAGGCCATGGTCATTTCATTTTAGCTTTCCTCAATTTACTTGGTAAGGTTAATAGGCAAAGCCTTCAAAAGCCATATTGTTCACAAGCTGCGTACTCATTCTGACAAATCGTCACTATAAAAACTATTCGTGCATCTAAGAAACATTGTTTTTTTGAAATAACTGTCTCTCGCTGACGTTGCACTTAGTTTAGGTTTAGAATGTCGAGCGAGGACAAGGGACACATGATCATCCAAGCGTTTCTTAAGGAGCTAAAGAGACGTCGCCTTCACAAGTGATTGGGGAGATCGTTCTACTGTTCTATTAGCTGTTGCATAAATAATTTAGGATGGAGGTCCAACCTGGATGATTTCGGACGTAGTTTCTTCAGGTGCCCACAGAGTTTAGACGAGGGATGTTCAGAGTTCAGAGTTCATTCCCTGTTCATTACCATGCATTATCTTATAAAATAAGACAAGGTCACCCTGGAGGGAAAAAAAGGGTACTCCGGTATATCCATAAAAGACCGGAGTTTTGGACCTTGTGCCAGTTTAGTAGCGCGACGGTGCCCATTCCCGAGACATAATGTCCTTCGCAGGCCATGGCCGTCATGCGCGGATGTCATATTCTAGATAAAACCAAACCAAAGTGTCGTACGCTTCACCAAAAGGCCTTTGTTGAAGGCTACGAACTTCCTTTTGATAGCTCGCAGCACTTCCATGTTGTTTTTTAAGGACCAATACACTGCGATGTCGGTCTCATTATGCCTTTATTCCAGCTCCGAGGTCATTCTGTAAAGTTTCTCTGAGACCTTTTATATCTTTTACGTAATATGCCCTCGTGCTAACCTTCAGACAATGCCTGATTGGACTCAGATGAAGGACGGACCACTTCATTAGATTGAAATCCGGGAGCCATCTCTCGGAGCAAGTTTGCAGTCGGTACAGATTACTTTGAAGAGTTTTCTGGCAGCTACGGCCCTTAATTATTTGCCAAGGCTTAAAGCCATTGGTAAACATGATTTTATTGCAGTCGGGTGCCCTATATGCACATTGTTTTTGACGAACAGTCAAACTGACTTTGGCTGTTTGCCGACGAAATTCTCCCAAATCCAGGTGCCAAACCCTTGACAAATGCTCCCCGGAAGTTTCTTTCGCAAATTTCATCGCTGAGATTCCATGGTAGTCATAAGAAGTGCATCATTTGGAACCTATTTGATAGATTACTTTTGGCTCCAGTAGTTTTATTCCAGTTGTCAGTAGACCGTTCGCTCGGGCACAATGTCAGTGCATGCCTGATAGTTCCGAAACAGTTACATCCAAATCCCCTGGTAATACGCTCGTTTGACGTACGACATTCATCATTTCTGACTTTATTTACCGCTATCGCAGTGAAACCGCGCTTGTTCGGACGAAAAATAATAGAGATTGAAAAAGTGTACGTTTCCACAGAGGAGTATCAAGAAACTTACCGATGATCTGGACAATCCCTATCGGTCCACTTTATAGGTTCATCTGAGCCTGGAAATCGTATGTTCGGGCTGAAACTGCAGTATAATATCTGCTCGATAGAGGCGATTGTTGAACTGCATATCTTTGGTTCTTAAACTTTAGTTTATTTCACTTTATTTGATAAGGATAATAGTCAAAACCTTTGAAAACCCTACTGATTAAATGTCAGCTCGTTACGAATAACTGTGCACGAACAATGAAAATATTCGATATTAGAACTGCACTTGATTCATTTGAGTAGCATTGTCTCAGAGAAAACACTTGTGGGATCACGAGGTATTTACTTTAGATTCAGACTGTCGAGGGAAAACAAGGGACACAAATAATCATCCAAGCGTTTCTTTAAGAGTTGCAGAGATGTTGCCTCCAAAACTGACTGATGGAGATCTTTCCATTTCTGCATTACCCTTTGCGTGAAAAATTCAGAATTAAGATTTAAGCCGGGAAATTGCTGTCCGTAGCTTCATCGAGTGGCCACGAAGATTGGATGAACGTGCCACTGAAGCATGTCTTTGAAGCCAAGTCTTATATCTTTCAGATGATATGTCCTCAGGTTCTCATTTGAATGAGAGTTGGTTGGACGCAGATGAAGAATGGCACACTTCTCCACATTGAAATCTAGAAGCCATTTCTCTGTCAACGCCTGAAGTCGATGGAGATTGTTTTGGAGAATTTTCTGGCCGTAAAGACTCTTTGCAAGAGCCTAACGTCGTCGGCAAACGTTATTTTGCCGCAGTCGAGTTCTCCATGCTGTCATTAACACAAAGGATGAAGAATAATGGTCTCAGAACAGAGCCTTAAGGCGCACCACTGGTCACGTTCACCCATTCTGACATATCAACTCCGACACAGACACGTTGTTTCCGACCAACCAAAAACGCCATTGTTCAGATAAGAAGATCTTCCCGGATGCCGGGAGCGCTCAATATGTGAAGAAGACGTTGGTGCGGAACAGTATCGAAAGCTTTGCGGAAATCTATAAACACGACATCGATCTCAAAACCCTCCTCTGGAGCCCTGGCCCAGCTCTCCAGACAAGCTAGCAGATTTGAAATGCAGGAACGTCCTCTCCGGAAGCCATGTTGAAAATCCTGCAAGATGTTATTTTCTTCAAAAAACTGCTGTATAGCGCTGTTTACCAGAGCTTCCGTCGTATCGCATGAGACGCAAGTTAAGTTAGTGGGCCTGAAGCTGCTTGCTGCCCTCCTGCTACCTCCCTTATGTAAGGGAACGAGATTAGCTGTCTTCCACTGTGATGGCAGTCTTCCTGTTCTCATCGACAGCTCAAAGATTGTCGAAGAAGGCTTTGACAGTTCCGTCGATAGCTCCTTAGGTATCAGCCCAGGAATTCCGTCGGGTCCAGGAGACTTATTGGGTTTAATTTGACTGACGACGCGTCTTACTTCTTCGACGGAGAAGGTGACGATATCAATGACGGCAGTATCTTGGCGCATTTGAAGCTCCCGGCTGTCTCGGTCCATTTAAAACTGCTGATTGTCTCCTGAGGACTCCTCCGTAAAAACTGATTAAAAAAACCAAGACAGTAATTGCACTTTCTGTGGCCTTTCAACTAATAGGTTTCCGAGGTCATCCTTTAGACACGCAATTTCGTCCCTATGTTTTCTTCTACTGCGGATGTACCCGTAAAACTTCTTGGGACATGTAATGGATTCTGCTATCAGTCGGCGCTCGAAAGAAGTTCTACTAACACGTATTTGTTGGAGGCATTTATTCCGCTGATCCTTATATTCGGCGAATGGCATTGGATCTCGAAGATGCAAATACTTTTTCCATAGTCTCTGTTTATTCTTCCTGGTCTTTTTTGTCGTTGGATTGACCTACAGCTGTCGTGCACACGGTGTTGTTATTTTTATTAGACAATGGGTGTCCATTGGACGCTTTATAAGCGAAAGTACTGCAAGAATTCTTCTAAATTTTCCATGTTGACTAACTAGCTTTCCATCAAAAGAGTACGTCTCATTGCGATAAAGTTACTATTACAAATATTTTTGCGCCTTTTGATTCTTGGTTGTTGGTTTGATAGGAGAGAGCACACGCAGGTAAAAACAATTTGATTGCTTATACCGAGTGGAGGTTGTGGATTCACTTCTCTTATGACTCCTTCTTCTTTACTGAAAACGAGATCTAAATAGTTAGATCGTTGTCCTTCTCTCAGTTTTGTTCCGAATTTTATGTATTGAATGAGGTACGCATTCAGAGAGAGTTGTGGTAATTTGTGGTCAAATGATGTGGACGGGGCGTATATTAAGGGAATTTTCCAGTCTATTCCTGGAGGTTTAAAGTCACCCAGAAGTAGTTAGTTCTCCTGCTTAAATAACAACGCCAGTGCACTAGGTAATTTCATATCGGCTATTTCATTCGAACTGGGAGGCCGATAGACAACACAGATGTTCAGTGTCGGTAATTGTTTGATACATATTTTGCATGAAATTATTTCAAAATTTCGCTGCACCCCATCGGATATTTCTCGCTGACAGCATGAAATTTCATTTGACACATAAATCGCTGTGCCTCCCCCTCTACGTTGAAATCTGTCACAACGGAACAATTGGTGGCCTTCGATACTGACTCCGTTAGTACTTATTTCCTCAGTCAATCACGTCTCTGTTAAGACAATTATGTGAGGCTTTTGTTCAGAGGCTAGTAATCTGAGTTCATCTAACTTGTTGAGGAGACTCTCACAGTTAGTGTAATAAATTTCTAGATAGCGACCACTGGCGCGGCAGCCTCAGGAGTTGGCACCTATGCATCGGTTAGCTGTCAGAATGACGACCTTCGGCGAGAGAAATGTCCTTTTGACCTAAATTATTTGTCCGTTTTTGATTTGTAGGTGTGTTTCGCCGCCGCTTCTCCGATTTTCCAGCTCCTTCATCAGCTCTCTTATTTTCATTCGTCCTTTTTGCTTCTAATCCGGCTGAAAAAACTCTGGGATGCTGACCCCGTAGAGATGCCTT